ATACCAATTAAAAATGACACATTTAAATAACTATTAAATCAGAGAGCAGAGCTTTAGAATTGCTCATTAGATATAACCTAAACAAGAGCAGACTGAGATATACAGTATAATACAGGTAGTCCTTACAACAGTTCATTCAGTGACCTTTCAAAGTTACAGCAGCTGTAAAAAAAAGTGGCTTATGATCAGTTTCACATTTACGACCGTTGCACCATTCCTATGGCCATGTGATCAAACTTCAAATGTTTGGCAACTGGCTCGTATTTATGACAGCTATACTCTCCTGGAGTCGTGATCAACTTTTGAGATCTTCTGACAAGCAAAGTCAATGGGGAATCCAGATTCACTTAACCATATTCACTTAACAACCATATTACTAACTTAACAAATACAACAATTCACTTAACAACTGTAGCAAGAAAAGTGGTAAAATGGAGCAAACTCACTATGTTTCACTGAGCAACATAAACTTTGAGCTCAACCATGGTCGTAACTCAAAGACTTTTAGTTTAAATTAGACTCATTACTTCTACATTTGCATTCAAACATACATATTGACCTACTCATGGAATTATATATCCCAACAAATGAGAATACTTGTAGCTCAGGGTTGAAAGGAGGGGTCCTTGGTGCTCTTTGAACATGGTTTTTTTTTTGCAGGCATCTCAATACTCTCGGTGAGGGGGGAAAACCCAAGCTCAGAGAACACCAAGGACCCCTCAACCCTTTTGTAATATTGAGAACTTTTCACCTTTTCCAAGAATAGTACTTCTTGATTATTTACTGGCCGAATGCACAAAACAAACAAGCAAAAAAGTAGTTTGGTTGGTTTCTTCTGTAGAATCCTGAATCCTGCCACCATTGTTTGTTTATAACAGTTTTAAAGATAGAAGATAATGCACATTCTAATATAGCTTATCAACAAAGGCTTCCAGGACACCAAAGTTGCCATCCATTTAATCTGAGAATTCAAAGTGCTTTGTGGCTTATCTAGAAAATAGAAACCTTTTCCAATCAATAGCTGGAGTGGGGGGGGGGGGAACACATTTCCCCAAATCACTGTAAAAGTGCAGTAAATTTCTAATGTTCCTCACTCAGTCTGTTCTCAAATTATCCTGCAGCACTGTTACAAGTAAAAACTTCTTCAGGTAAACCCTGATTTCTGGTGACTTTACAGATTCACCCGTTCAGTTTCCTTGGCAAAAACTTGAAAATAGTTTGCCATTGCCTTCCTCTGTTAACTTGTATGTTTAACATACCATCCTAATATTTCATAGTAGTAACCCATACAAGTACTTATCCTGCTTAGCTTTTTGAGACCCACCAAGGTCAACTAGTGTCAACTATTTGATCACCATTATTATGCATAATTATGGCAGATGATGTTTTATGCCAGTGCTGCTAGATAGTCATATATCGTTATTGGAGATGAGATAGAATGATGTAAGTCATGCAGAATAATCCAGTATTCTTGTCCAGTCCTGTGTGCACCTGTGTACATTTAAGGAAGCATAGCGTGGATGAAAGGGGCACAATGATTCAGCGGTTAAAGACACTGAGCTGGTCAGTTCGAAAGCTGACAGCTTGGGTTGAAGACTTGAGCTCCTGCAACAGGATGAGCTCCTGTTACTTGCCCCAGCTCCTGCCCACCTAGCAGTTCAAAAGCCTACAAATGAAAGTAGATTAATAGGTACCACCTAAATGGGAAGGTATAACCATGCTGGTCATAAGGCCACGGAAATGTCTTCAGACAATGCTGGTTTTCTTGAACAAGTAATGGAGATGAGCACTGTGCCCAAGTGCCAGACACGACTGGACAGGAAAACCTTTGTTAGTTGCAAAGTCATGTCTGACCCATCAAGACCCCATGGACAATGTTCTTCCAGGCCTTCCTGTCCTCTACCATCCTCTGGAGTCCATTTAAGCTCATGCCTACTGCTTCGGTGACTCCATCAATGAACCTCATTCTCTGTCGTCCCCTTTTTCTTTTGCCCTCAATCGTTCCCAGCATTAGGCTCTTCTCCAGTGAGTCCTTCCTTCTCATTAGCTGGCCAAAGTTTCATCTTCAGGATCTGGACTTCTAAAAAGCAGTCAGGGTTGATCATCTCTAGGACTGACCGGTTTGATCGCCTTGCAGTCCAAGGGACTTGCAGAAGTCTTCTCTGGCACCACAGTTCAAAGGCCTCAATTCGTTGGCACTCAGCCTTCATTATGATCCAACTTTCACAGCCATACATTGCAACTGAGAAAACCAAGAAATGGCAACCCACTCCAGTATCTTTATCATGAAAACCCCATGGATAGTACCAAAAAGAAGGAGAAAGAAAGAAAGAAAGAAAGAAAGAAAGAAAGAAAGAAAGAAAGAGAAAGGATGAAAGTAAAAATTAAATGTTCAGCAATTTTGTGATGTATATCCAGAATTGAGCAGGGATGCAATTTGATCTTTCTTTTTCTTGGAGTCAGTATGGCAAGATGCCATATTATAAATTACTATTTTCTCGTTCATTGAAGTAGCAAGGAAGTGTATTTTGAAGGTAGACAAGTCCTTTGTGTATTACCTTGTGGGCGCAGTCTAGCAGTATGGAATGTATCATCAATTTTTCCTCTACAAAGTTGCTCTTTATTTCTGTCTCCCAGTTTTCTCTCTCTCTCTCTCTCTCTCT